TTGGGGCTTGACTTCCAAAATATTTATTTTTTATTTTCGGATTTTTAATTTAATTTATTAAATTTTAATATGAAAAGACATGTCTGAATATTGAATAACTTTTGGAAGTCTAAAGGTATCTCTATGAAATGGTATTTTTCTTAAGGGATACATCTCTACAAGTAGTGGCTTTTCAATCAATATAAACTCCTATGCAAAGTTAAAGTTCTACATCTAGTTTTTGAGAGAGTTTGAGTTCTGTTGTATCTTGGAGGATTTTTGAATCCTTAAGGAGAGTGAGATCACGCCTCAGAACTCTCTGTTTTTTCATTCTGATAATCCTTATCTACAACAAACCCCCCATAACTTCTTTTTCTTGTTTTCCTGTCTGGAACCATGTAGTAGTAGGTTAAGTGTATATATATCTTCCCCATGTTTGAGGCAGAATTGATCGATCCTGCTGTCAAGGGGACTCTTAATGTTCTTAAATCATGCACAAAAGTTCCTTCCATCAAGAGATTAGTTGTGACATCTTCAATAGCTGTAGTTTCATTCAATGGAAAACCATTGACTCCTGATGTTGTGGTGGATGAGACTTGGTATTCCGATCCAGCTTTCTGTGAGAACTCCAAGGTGTGTACTCTGTTTTCTACCTGAGAATTTCTTCTTTTTCTATCCTGGTGGTGGTAATCACGAGTTAGGCCACGCTCACTCACACATTTCCTTTATTGCTTGTATGGTAGTAGTGGCTAAACATTAGTAGTTCTCTAAAATCTTTGTATTTCTCCAGCTTTGGTATATGCTTTCAAAGACATTAGCTGAGGCGGCTGCTTGGAAGTTTGCGAAGGAGAACAGGCTTGATTTGGTTACAATAAATCCAGGATATGTGATTGGTCCTATTCTACAGCCAACCCTTAATCTCACCGTGAAGCTCATATTGAACATCGTCACAGGTAATTAATTACCAGTGTATATATATATATATATATATATATATATATAATTGCAGTAATATTGGGGAATAGTAGCAATTCTTACGTTTATAAATATAGTCTAGTCTGTGCTGAAAAGTGTTTTGTATGCAGGACGGGAACTCCCACTAGTTGGTGTATTTGTGGATGTTCGAGATGTTGCACATGCTCATGTTCAAGCATTTGAGATTCCTTCAGCTACTGGCAGATATTGCATGGTTGAAAGCAGTGTAGACGTTTCTCAGTTGTGGAAGATCTTGCATCAACTTTTCCCTGAGTTCCACCTCAATGAAAAGTAGGTTGTGTTTCAATTTCTTTTTTCACACTGCATTAGATATTCTTCTCTCACAAAACAAATTTTGAATTTTCTTCCAATAAAATTTTAAATTTTTGAGAAAAAAAAAAAACTTTTATAGCAAGTGCTTTTTAAACTTTGTAGATACCCTAGATGATTTTTTGTTTTCACAGATTTGAGGATAAGCCTATTCAAAAAGTGTTTCAAATATCCAAAGAGAAAATTAAGAGCTTGGGTGTCAACTTCATTCCTTTGGAGGTAAGTCTCAAGAACACTGTTGAATGCTTGAAGGATAAGGGTTTCATTAGCTTTTGAATCTCAATCATTGACTTTACCCTTTTTCCCCCCTTCATTCAGTTTTTATTAGTTTTTCTTAGTTTTTCAATAAAAATCATGTGGCTGTACCAAGAAAATGGATATTATTCTCAAATAAACCAAAGAGAGATTCCATTGCTATTTCTAAGGCATTTGTTTCTCTATGGAATATGCTTGTTCATATTCTTTGGTATTATATTGTTGGAATATTGCCTGAAACCAAAAAATATTATAACAAAGAAAGCGTACAACAAATTAACAATGTGAATGAAATAACTACAGATGAATAAACAATAGAATTAAGGTTAATGTATAAAAAAAAGGTAATTAGAATAGTCTAGGTTGAAGCACTATACTTAGAGAGAATACATCCTCATTGCATTGTTAATTTGATGAATGCACTCCTCTCCCAATATACGACAACCCGTCAGATCACTTGGAATGCAGCAAAGAAATCCCCAGACCACTACGTGATCCAAAAGCTCACACCAATTTATAAATAAACAGGGCTTAAAGGTAAAAGCAATCTTGAGTTTTAATGGAGATAAAGGAAAGATTTTTTTTTTTTTTTTAATGTTATAGTTTGGGATAGGGGAAGGGGATTGTAATTGCACCAAACTAGAAGTCTTTTTTCAGTCTGCGTACGCACTTCGGATGTACCTGCAAAGCCTCGAGGTGGGTTCTCAAGGTAGACACTTCGATACTTAAGTCAACAATAATCGGGGCTACTTTTAGAGAGGAGATAAAAGGAACTTAGGGTTGGTTTAAATTACCTTTTTGATGTGGCCCCTGGGGGGTATTTATAGGTTTCAGCAAGGAACCCACGTGGCATGCCAAGCAAGATATTCGGAATCTGACGTGTCTTTCTAGACGGTTATTTTGGGACCGAAAAATTGAGAGATATTCAGATAAAAGGATGTTCGTCATAATTGTTGTGCAGCTTATCATAAGGAATCAGGTGCGGCATGCTTATTGTCGCTATCATGCAGCTATTTGAGCGGAAAGTTTGGGATTTATCCTTCACTTCGGTTATACAGAATTACTATTGTACGTTCGAGGTTGGGCACTTCGGACCTACCCTTACATTATTCCCCCCCGAAGTTATTCACTTGTGAATGATTAGTGTGGAAGATGAGTGTAGACGGGGGTAGTCAATATAAAAATGTATGACATGAAGTCGTGTTTTTGGTTGCAGTCGAGGTAAAAATGCATGACAGTCATGTGTTATGCTCGTAGCCGAAGTAAAATTGCATGTCATGGAGTCATGTGTTATGGCCGTAGCCGAAGTAAAATTGCATGACATGGAGTCATGTGTTATGGCTATAGCCGAAGTAAAATTGATGACTCAACCGCTGTGGCTAGAGCCGAAGTAAAATAGGTGACTCGGGGTCACTATGGCTAGAGCTGAGGTAAATAATGATGACCAGAGTCATAGCGGTTGGAGTCGAAGTAATAAGTAATGACTGGAGTCATGTGGCTGGAGCTAAAGTAATAAGCAATGACTAGAGTCATAAGGGCCGAAGCCAAAATAAAAGTAGTGACTGGAGTCATAATGGCTGGGGTCGTGATAAGATATAATGACCGGAGTTAGTGGCCGGAGCCATGATAAAATATAATGACCGGAGTTATAGCGGCCGGAGCCGAAGTAATATATTTGACAAGGAGTCATAATGGCCTTGGCCGAAGTAAAATGTGACAGTCACAGTGGCCGGAGCCGAAGTGAAAAACTTGTAAGTTAAAAATATAATTGTGAAAGCAAACAAAAGTGTTGAGTTAGGTTTAAGTGGACCCGTTTATAAAGTCTGACTTAAACTTATTATGTGACATGTCAGCTGTCTATCAAAAGACGTGTACAATTAATACAGGCTGAAAAAAGTAATTGTGACGGTCAGACAAACGGAATTAGGAAACGAACTGTCGAATTCAAACGGCTCCCGTTAGGGTTACACAGTTGAATTCGAATCGGTGTGAATAAGGACTATAAGATTAAATGAATCTCAGCCGTTGAGATCTAATTTTGCCCGGAGGTATAAATACTCATTTTTTGCAAAAGTTTTGTAAAAGCTTTACTGTGTGCTTCCTACGTGTGAACTGCTGCGTCATTTGGGGATTTCTTCATCAAGTTTTCGAAACCGAAATCAAGTAATGTATATGAATCTCTGATTTTGATTTAATTGAAGTGTACTCTCCTTTCTCCCTTTCTGTGTTTGATTTTGAGTCCTCGGAAGGAAGTTAAGGTTGGGAGTGAGAATGATTTTGAGTGTGCGTTCAAGAGTTTTTTTTTTTTTTTAAGGGGTCCTGACTTCATTCCTCCCCCTACTTCGTGCAGAAATTGAAAAAATGTCTTCGAAAGAAACAGTAAGTGTTATA